AAAAAAAATTGTACTTGTAAATGTTGTATCTTTATGTAGTAATGACATGGATATAAATACTTGAATAAAATAAAAAATAAAAAAAACAAATTTCGATTTTTTTTTTCTTCTTCGAAATATGTCAACAAAACTATGCCACTCTCTTCTCTTTCTCTTGTTCTCTCGTTTAAAAAGCTATACACAAAATGAAGATGAAGAACAGAATAAAGTAAAAACGGATATCGACTAATTCATCACTAGAGAGTATATATATATATGTGATATGAGAGATGAGAAAAAAAAATGTGCTTCATTAGCGGAAGGAACCAATCATTAGCATAAGATCGTTCTGGAAAAATAAAAGTAGAAGAAGAAGAAGCAAAAAATATTGTACATTTATCTCTTGTCGGTTTTCCTTTTTTTTTTTTTTTTTGTTGTTCTTCTGACTTGCGTTCGTTCATGGATTAACACACACACACAATATATTTCTATTTTGCTTGGCGAATCAGAATTTCTTTTCTTTTTTCTTTTTTGGCCATATATCTCTGGATATCTTGCTAGTAACCAGCAGGAGGGATAAAATTGATGATATAAAAAGAAGAAAAACGACCTTTTGCTATATTCGACGCCCTCCAACTGTTTGTTCTTATATTTGTACACATGTGATATACATGAATCAATATACATGCCGAAAGTCATAGAAATATTACACCTATGAGTATAATTGGAAAACAAAATAAACATAATGATTTATAGAGTGAAGATATTTAGTAAATATTCATTGTCAAGGTTTTATATGAATGATTATTATTAGAATTATATATATATGAAAAGTTTCGATTATTGACCATAAAAAAATATTTCATTTATAAGATAGATTATTGATTTTGTTTTTCTTTTTGTATAAGAAGCAGCCTTAGGCTTTTTTTTTTTTTATTTAGTTTTCTTTTTCTTTTTTTTTATCGTTTGAGATATAAAGATATGATAAAAGATATGAATTAATAAATGAAATATCTCTATATAAGTTTACTTTAAATTGAATGATGTTTTGTTTTTTTTTTATAATGAGATAAGATGCGAATAACAAAACAATCATATTTGTTTGTTACATAATTAATAACATAATATTATTTCTTTGTTTAAGCATTAATATTTACCATATGTTAGTTTGATTTCATGCTATTTATTCAGATCATTATTCTGCTGAATTGATCTATGCAAGGAAGAGAAGTACCGTTTTCTTTTTATTTAAATATTTTTTTTTATTGAAAATAGACATCATTTTTGAAATTCGTATGTAAAAATATACAGAAAAACCCTGTATTTCAATGACAAAGACTTCGAATCAATTATTACTTATATAAGAGTACAGACTAAGATTTTATTAATAAAGGTTAATAGTGTGATTTTTCAATGAAAACATTTTTTGATAGTGAAAATATTTTACATATAGAAATGACTCGGTTCTAAAAATAATGATTTCATAACATTGAAAGATTGAAGATTTTAGTCAACAGTTTTAATATCATAACATCAATTCACGATGAAAAAATTAATCAAATAAAAAAAAACAAACTATCTGGAAGTCTATATGCTATTTTCTTTAATTATGCTTTGAAAATTCTTGATTATCATGTAGATCTTTTTTTCTTCAGAAAATCGAATTATAGTGAGAAGTATTATCATCGGTTTTTTTTTCTCATTATTTTGATAGACTGTATGCAACCTACATTGATGATAATAACACTCATTTTTTAATAGAGTAAATCGTTTAGTTATTATATAGTTATAACCTGAATACTTTTTAAATGATAGGTAGTAATCGTTAATAAAGTTATTGATTAAGATGAATTTATTTTTATTCTCTAGAAAGTGTACTAATAAATCAAATATAAATTTTTATATAACAGAGTAATAAGTATATCCTTTTTTTTTAAAGCAAGAATTTTTTTTGTGTTAAGACTAATAAAGTTCAAATTATGATTTAGCAGTCTCATATTCGCAGGAGAAGGAAGCTCTCTCCTCTTCAAAATATTCAACTGTTTGCTAAAGGTCTAAATAGTTTCTGTTAATTTTTTATAATTTCATGACAACTTGGACAAAACACTGAATTTTGAAATAGCCTTTGCCTTTCTCGGACAGAAAGTGAAACAAGCATACAATGTCGTTGCGAGGTGAATAGAAGAGATGAGACAACTTCTGTCGAGCTTTTAGCTCCTCCCAGTGATTTATCTACTGGGTGGGCGCCGCCGACCCGAAATTTTGATTCGCCCTCTCGAAAATATTCAGCAGCCATTCGTCTACTGAGTGGGCCGAGTGGACGTCGCCCACCCGAAATTTTGACTCGCCCACTCAGAAAACGAAACCTAGATAAAACACTGGCTTCTGCTACTCTTAAAACATACCGACAATCCTGAGTATATATATATCCTTTTTGTTTTTGTGATTGCCTATTTAAGTTTTTCTTTTGATTCTGCTTCAATGAAAATGTGCAGATCAGTGGCGTAGCCAGAAATTTTTGAGTCATGGGCAATTCATCAGCCGAACTATTTTGAGTTACGGGCAGCTAAGGGCAACCATTATGATTTCAAAAATATCTATTGGCAATAACTTTTGGAGCTATGGGCAATTGTACAATGACCCTACCCATGGCTACGTCACTGGTGCAGATTATAGTTTTATTAAAAAAATAATCCGAAAGATGATTTTCTAAAAAAACAAAAAAATTAACTCAGAAAAATAGATTCATTCTTTATTTTTTTTTGTGGATAATTGTTTGAAATTGATGTTTATCGAATAAATAGTATTATAAAATTGTGATTGTTTATTATCGACGACGTGCAGTACCATAAGGAAACCATATTGGATGAGCACTTGTAGATTTTTGTCTTGACTCTAATTGTCGAAATGGATTTGTTGCAGGATGAATTCGACTTGTTAATCCCGTATAGAAATTAGGTAATTCTTTATTTGTTTGATACTTAATAGAGAAAAAAAAAGGCTATCAAAAATTACAATTTAATAAAAATAAAAACTTACAGGATAACGACCTGGTCGAGATGGAATATATAAATCATTTTCTTCATCAGGTAATGGATAAGCAATTTTAAAACGATCAGGATGTTCATCAAGAAATTGAGACCATTTCATACTTGTTTGTCTAATGAAAAATAAATAAATAAATAAATAAATTTTCTTAAAAACAAAAATTTAATTTACGTTAAATGATTTGGAACAATTAACGGATGAATACGGTTCAATGAATCCTAATAGCAAAAATAAATTTCTAAGAACAATTTAATGAATTAACAACATACTGTTGAATTAGGATCATCTTGTTGATAAAGATATTGTTTATATGTATCATATTGTTTTGGTAATGTTTGAATCGATTCAAGATCAATATTTATATATGATGAACCATAAATATTACGATGTTTTGTAGCATAATTATCAGATGCTTTCTGCCAATTTGTTGTAAATATTGAATTATAAATTGATATTGTATCTTCTGAATTTAATTTTGTATTATTCGGACGACTAAAAGTTCATTCAAGAATTTATTAATATTTTAAGATCGATCTTATTTTATTCATCTTTTTTTTGATATTAAAATGAATATCCAAAAAAATCTTAATTTATTTCGAAGAATAAAATTGAAATCATAGCGAATGTTTACAGAATAATTTTCTAGAGAATAGCTGATCAGAAACATTTGAAATTTTTCGAGCAAGTAGATCTCGATGACTAAGGCAAAGCTTTTCATAGACTCAAAGTTTTCAGATATTGTCTTCTATGAGATACTAAGATTACAATGTTGAATAACGGCTTATGTTTCTTTGTAATGTTATTTTCAATCGAATTTTAAATTATATTTATAGGCACTAGTTACTGTTTCGAGTGGATATCATTTTATGCTTTATCCTTCGAATAAAAAAAAAGCTAAAATATCGAAAGAATGCTAAAAATGTATATTGATTTGAATAGAGTTGCCAAAAATCAGTACATACAACAATATTTTTCGAAACACAAAAGAATAATATCCATCCAAAACAGAGTATAGTATATACGTGAAAATAGTTTTAGCTTGATTGAAGAAACTGGCGGCGTTTCTTCATTTTTCGTTTCATGAAAAAGTTTGATTTAATAGTCACAAAAGGAAGCTATCCTTATGTTCTCGTTCTTAAACGAAACATTACAATTAACAAATCAACAATACAATTTCATCTTACAAAAAATATTTCTTTGAGAATGTATTTTGAAAAAAACAAAAGAAATATCAATCTAGTAAAAATATTATAGAATACTAACCGTGCAATATATGTTGGAAGATATGGTAATGGAAGAATACGATCTAGTTCATTATTATTTGAATTATTTATTTCAAATTGTGTCATGTTATAAACTAAAATCTTGTCTTAGAAGAAAAAGTGTTACAATACTTCGTCTTTTTTTTTCTTTTTCTTTTATTTCTTTCACAAGAAATGCTATTTTTCTTTATATGCCCTTAAAATATTTCACTTTTAACCGTTTTTTATTTTTTTGCTTTAAAACAACAACATCTGCCATTATGATGAACAAGAATGTAATGTTTTTTTTTTTTTATAGTTTCTTGAAAAAAAAAAAAATTGAATGTTATATATTGAACAGCAAAAAAAAACGAAGAAAGAACATCTTGAACTACACCGACACGTTCTATAATATAAGGTTAAAACAGACAACACATAGACAAAAAAAGAAAAAAAAGAAGAAAATCTTTTGTCATCCATAGAAAGTTAATCGCATTTAAAGCGAACAATTGTTGTTGTTGTTTTTCTATAATATATAATAGTGGCAAAAGAGAAAATATATCTAACGAACGACGTTAAAGAAAAATAATATGTGTAAATAGGTTTTATTTTTTGTTTTTTTTGTTTTGTTTTTATACATATAATAACGATTTTATATACAGACATGATGAACACAAAAAATGATGATGATGATGATGTTTACATAACAGACAAAAAGAGAAATAATTGAATTCAAGATGATCCTGTCGATCCATAATTCATTAATTCAGTAAATGAACGTTCAAATGCTTGATGTAATTCGGAATAACTAACAATAATAACATTTTGTTCATCACGTGATGTTAAACAAATTTTATCATGTGAACCAGCATCAAACTAAAAGAATAAATTATTAATAAGAATTTTTTGTAATTTTTTTTGTTGTTTTACTTTATTTAAACATTGAACAATATGTGCCATATCCATAACTGGTTCACCCTCGAAACCAATTGAATGAAATATAAAATCACGAAATAATTTTAGAATATATCGATCACCTGTTTCTGACCAAGCTTGATTTATTGAATGTCTTTTAAGAAGAATATTATTTATTTATATGAATAAATGAAATTAATTTTACATACTCAGGTCGTTCGAGTAATGTATTGAGTTTACAAATTAGTCGAAATAAACGACTACAATCAAGTTCCTCAAAAAAACAAAAATTTTTGTTCTTGATTTTTCATAGTTTATATTGATTAACTTCGTATATCAGTAATGGTACATGAAGAGTAGAGCATGTTATCAAAAAATAAGTTCGCAAGCTTATCTATTTTTTTTTTCGATTTCAAACATTAAGATTCTGGAATTTTACCATTGATGAAAACCTTAATAGACGAAATTCTAGTCACTCGAAAAATCTTTATTAATTTATATTAACTTGACGGAAATGATAATATTACTATAAGTGTGTTATATTTGTGTGCATTGCATAATCTCTAGTGAATCAATATAATTACATCAAAAATTCATATATATTCCTATGTTCGGATGGCTAGGGAACATTGGTTCATAGAGTATGATATTTTTTTAAAAGCGATTGAGCTTTATTTTACAGTATATCATTGCAAAAGGGTCAAGATAGAGTTGTAAAAAAGGAAACTAAACATGAGTGAGATTTTTTCTTTTTTGCGATTTGTAACTGAGACGCCATGTCATTTAAAAGGAAGTTAGTAGACAATAGATATTTTTTTTTTATGTAAATAACAAACGATGAAATTGGGATCCTCTCGACTGGTCCCCCTTGCCAATTATCCCAACTGGTCCCCCCTTAATTGACTCTCAATTCGTCCCCAACAAAATTCGTTCCTAGTTGATTGATTCTCAATTCGTCCCTTCAATTAGCCCGTCCCTGTTCAGAAACAATTAGAAACAAATATAGGAATAATAGTCATCAATCAGAAAATTGCTTGCTGCGTAGAGCACTCTGTATATATATATGATGCGTGTTCTTAGTAGTGTATTAGTTTCCCTATTGACATTATCTCTGCTCTGAGAAATGCTGCTATTCACATCTTCGGAGCGTGGTCAACCTGTACTCAATTACAATTCTCATCAATACACAAAGAAGCGTGCGAGAAAGACGAGCAACGAGTGGCGTTGTCGAGATCGTGGTTGTGCCAGTATGCTTTTTCTTTGCATAGTCGATGCAAAAGTTCTTCGCGAGCCCTCTACTCATACTTTTCAACAACCAGCTTCTGTCGGCAAATCTCTAGTCGACAAAGCAGTTGGTAATATGAAAAAACGTGCACGAGAGGAGACTATGCCGATCCCCAAAATCTATACACAAGAAATCGTTAAAGCTCGTAGGGTGTGGGTGTTGATGAGGATATGGGTATGGCTCTAGTCTTCAACCACACCCACACCCACCCCAGAATCTCGAGCTCCTTCTTAAGGACCATAAGGGCGGATTGATCACTGACATGCAACTCGCGATCAAATACGGACGCGCTTTGAAGACAAAACTTGTCAAATGATTTTTGTTTCTTTTATTTTTTTCTTGTTTCTTTGTTACTCTTGAATAAAACAGCTGATTGTTGAAAATCGTCTGTTTATCAAATTAGCCACCAATTAGTAGCTATTGGATTGGGGGACGAATTGAGAATCAATTAACGGGGTACGAATTTTGTGGGGGACGAATTGAGAGTCAATTAATGCGGAGGGGACGAGTTGGGGACGAATTGGGGACCAGTTGGGGACGAGTCGAGAGTAACTCGATGAAATTTTTTTTTAAATCGTTTCTATATGTTTGAATTGTTGTGGATTTTTTCATATATAAAATTAAATAAAACATTGATTAGTTTATATAATAAAGAATTTATTTTCTTTTTTTCATCAAATAGCGACATGATTAATATGACAAAGAAAATATATTAATAAAATGACTACAATCAAAATTAATTAGATATAAGGATAAATACCAAGAGAGAAGGAGCAAAAATGCCATACTTCCAGACTATGTGATAACTGTGCATCAGATCTCTTTAGCTATTTCAAGTGTACTATCGACCTGTGTTACGGTATATTAGCCGGAGTTCAACTTACTTAAATCAACCTCACTCTAAAGTCCAAATACTTCACGGTACTTCCGAATTGGAAGTATCGTGAAGTATTTGGGCTTTTTTTGTTTGAAAGACTTACGTAGACTGGACTCCGACTAATATATCGTAATACAGGTCGATAGTAGACTTGAAATAGCTAAAGAGATCTGATGATTCATAGTTATCACATCGTCTGGAAGCAGTGGCGTGCCTAGGAATTTTTCCGGGGGGCTTGATCGTTCCCAGGGAGGACCACTGTGAAGAGAAACTGGTTTTAGGCACGCGAAAATAATTCGGCCCGTATCCCCCTCCAAGTGTTCGTATTTCTCCAGGGAGGATCGACCCCCCAATCCCCCCCCTCTGGGCACGTCACTGTCCGGAAGTACGCTGAAGTATGGCATTTTCGCTCCTTCTCCCTTGATAAATACGCATGCTTAGAAATCTCCGATAATCTACATAGTTTTTGTTTAATCAGGATTTTTCACCTATTGAAGGTTTTTACTATTTTGAAATAGATATTGTTTTAGTCTTTTCGTAACATTTCAATCAATTGTAAAGATAAATGTTGACATTCAGTAATGATCGTCAGACGAGATAATTGAGATTTGTAGGACATGGAAAAAAAAATAACACTTATCAAACAATGAAGTGCAATTAGAATTCTTTGTCAACAAACAAGAATTTTAATATAGATACTATTAAACTTTATTATTTTAATATCAAATTGAAAGATATATTGATAATCATTAATGATTATGTAATTTAATTAAATGAAATTCTAATTGATCAATAATTTTTTATTATAAAAATCTAACTTACTTTTGCTAATTCATTTTCAAGTATATCACCACGTACATGTAAATTATCAATATGTGCATAAAATCGTGCACCAATCATTGGCATACAATCATTAATACTTTTTGGTTTTAATGGATTTGATGGTAATAAGAAATGTCTACAAAAAAAAACCTTCAACTGTAGTAAAAATAAAATCAAAATTTTTTTTATTACAATATAAGATTTTTAAGATCATGTGAATAACTTCTTTGAACAATTTCTAATGATGTTTGTAAATGTTCTTTTTGAGCACCTACAATTGAATTACATGCTAACATTAATATTAAACGACCAAAATCTTGTAAATCATTTTGCTAAACAAATTCACAAATATATATTTTTATGAAAAAAAAAACAAAATAAATTTTTATCTGACTATATGTTGTTGAACACTTGTATTAATACTTCCATCAAGAATATCAGCAATGCCTACACCACTTAACCATAATCTATACAAAAAAAAACGATCGAAAATTGTTAGTATGCAAGAAAAATTTGATAGTTTTCTATAGGAAGAAACTTTAAATTAGTGATTTTATTTTCCAGAAAAAACGAAATTCATAACTTATATTTAATAAGATTGTATCATTTAAATTTTATAGAAGCAAATATTTGTATTTGAACACTTTTTTTTAGAAAAAAAAATATCAAATAAATAAATCAAAATGAAAACAATTTATATAGATGAACTCTAATATTTCATCATTTCGAAAATGTTTACAATGTACTAAATTCATCAAACACATATAGTTTTATATAGAAAAATCACTTATTTGTATTGTCAAAAACAATGCTTTTGTTTTTACACATAAACGAATAATAAGGATACTCTGAAAATTTTCTCTCATTTCGGACTTTGTAGAGCTTTTTTCGCTGATCATTTCGCTAAAAAAAGTTTTTGATTTTCATTGAGTAATGACGATGTTATAGCCAAAATACTAAACACTGTAATATAAAGTAGGGAAAACAGTTTAGCACACTTTTGATATTTGGCTAATTTTTACGTTATTTCACAACATCTGAAAGATGTTCTATATATCATTCGACGCAGAATTTAATGGGCTACATTTTGGTAACAAGCACTTATACTTATATTGCAGTTAATTAATTAATTAATAATTAATAATAATTAGCAATTAATTAATAATTAGTTAGCGTTAATTAATACTAGTTAGCGTTAATTAATAATAATTAGCAATTAATTAATAAAATTTTGATTTATTTCTAAATTTCAACTCTTTCATATGAAAGAGCATAAAAAATTGAACAAAACTCTATAATTACTATTTGGAAAGCAATGAATTTAGTGAGGTTTTAGTGTGATTTTCAGAGTATGTTCAGTTGTAATTAGATATAGTATGTATTACAGTGTTTAGTATTTTGACTATAACATCGTCATTACTCAATGAAAATCAAAAACTTTTCTTTTACCAAAATGATCAGCGAAAAAAGCTCTACAAAGTTCGATATGAGAGAAAATTTTCCGAGTATCCTTATTATTCGTTTATGCGTAAAAACAAAAATGTACATGCTTTTTTGAGCCCTCACTGTAATACATATACAATATGAGAAATATTATTCTATCTTTCATTAGATTAGCCTACTAAAGACATTTACTCAATTAGTTCATAGTTTTTGTACAATCCATCCTATTCGACTTATAAATATCACCATGATACTAATTTATATGTATTGTAATAAAATTCTTTCGATTCATTAAATACTAAAACCTGTAGGAGAATACTTTATAAATTATTTTGATGATAAGATCTAGGAAGAGACGTAAAAATTTTGTTTTTTAAATATATAATCAATATTTTCTTTTTTTTCGAACATATATAAGTTAAAATTTTTAATACCTAGATTTTGCACGTCCTGCTTTTGAATCACCATCAACAAGTATTCTTGATAAATGTAAACAACGACAAGAAAGTAATGCTGCATGTAATGTTCGTATTAATGATGATAATTGTACAACATATTCCCATATAAGTGCTTCAGCTAATAAACCAGTTTGATTAGTTCCTTAAATAAAAAATTATTTAATTATATAAATAAATAATAAATATATAAAAATACCTTTTCCAGCACTAAATGGACGATCTTCACCAGATATATTATAAGGATTTGACCAACCTTTTAATAGACTATTATTTGAACTAAAATGACGTTTTTGTAATGTTTCACAACATGGTATAAAATCATAAACAAAAATAATAGCTAGAAAAATTAAATAAATTAATTTTTAAAATAAATAAAATAAAAAAAATTACAAGGTTGATCATCATTAAAATCTTTTGTTAAAAAAACTTCACGTAATTGTGCAATATTAGCATGTATTATTTTTTTCCATGTTTCAACAACTTCATATAAACGTACTGTTGGTAATTTACAACCTTTATTTAGAAAAAAAAAAGAAATATTTTATTGAAAATAACAAAATTAAAAATTAAAAGATATTGTTTTTTTTAAATACCCATTATTCGTTTTAAATAACATATAGCATTTGTTCGAATATGTGTTGCTTTATAACTTATTGTTTGATAACGAAAAGTTCGTGATTTATGTGGTACATTTGCTTGACTACTATCAAGTGGCATTAAATTATAATAATCACCTACACGTTCTGGCATAGCTAGAATTTAAATTTAATGAAATAGTTTAAAGTTTATTAATGAATGTTCGGAAAATTTTTAGAAATAAGATTTTTGTTTATTTTTAATCTGCTAGAAAGTAGTTCCTAAGAGCTAATCGCCTGAAGTGATTCACTGCTTTTGAGCTTATATTTTGGATATATAGAGGGGATCTCTAGACAAGAATAATTCTAAAAGGATTCGAGTCCATAGGTCTCCGATACAGAATTATAACCATATTAATTTAATTTTAGCCTAGGACATGGAATGCACAAAAGAAAGAGACTGATGATTTTTCGGCCTGAAATTTTGTCCACAGATAGGTCTACTTGTAACTAGAATGTCTTAAAAATTTCAGCTCAAAAGAATGTTTCCTTCACGAGATGTTGAATGTTGAGAAAACATAAGATTTTTTGCATCTTTTATGAGATCTGAATGATTTTAGAAAATTCAACATTTCACGAAGAAAACATTCTTTTGAGCTGAAATTTTTAGGACATTCTGATTACAAATAGACTTATCTGTGGACAAAATTTCCGATCGAAATACTGTCAGTCTCTTTGTGTGTGCAAACCATGCCATAGCCTAAAACTGAAGTAAAATGGCTATAAATCAGTATCGGAGGCCTATGGACTCGAATCCTTTTAGGATTATTCTAGTCTAGAGATTCCCTCTATATGTCCAAAATATAAGCTCAAAAGTGGTGAATCACTTCGAGTAGTTCCCACGTAAGACCAGAATTTCGTCTTTTGAGAGTAGTAAACTAATCTTTGAAAGTTCATATTCAAAATTCTGATCCTAATATCTAGTTTATGGTTGATCGGACAGACTTTTTAATGAGTTAAAAATAAACAAACATCTTATTTAAATAATATAAATTTTTTTGTTATACCTGCTGCTACATCGAGATTTGCACATACAGTTAACATATGATTACGTCTGAGTAGTTCAGCTCTATATAAGAAAATATTGAATTTATGTAAAAATAAAACATTTAACTTATATTTTACCTCAATTCATCAGTCATAAAATATGCAAAATCAGGTCGAGCTTGTCGAACCGATGACATATCAGGTGGTGCTGTACGTTCTTTTTCTTCATGATGATTCGAACCACTTATTAATAGATCATCATCTGTCAATTGTTGCATCTATATATTTATATACATAATCAATATTTTCTATACATATATACATGTTCTATGCAAATTTAGAATTCAAATAAAGATAAATTCCATATAATGATATGTTTTTTTTTTATTATAAGTTGAATAAAATAGTAAAAAAAAAACAGAAAAGTTTTAATTCTAAAATAACTGTTGTATTAAAAAAAAAACCCGAAAAAATCATGTTAACGGTCTTCTACAATGCTATCAAATTCTATATCTTTTAGAATTTCAAGAACAAATGATAGAATTATCATATTGTTCTTTTTCTTTCGATACAAACTATACTTCAAAGTCACAATTCGAAAAACATAGATTTTTTTTCCCGACATGCATAGAAAATAATGTCTAACTAGAATTCAGCAACCAATTCCATATACAATTGTCCAGACAAGTATCCTTTCAATTAACCAAAATAAAGGAGTATTTTTATATTATAAATTATTTAATGAGATATTATTTTAGTATTCAGATATTAATTTATCTTTAGTTAAATATTAATTTTTTCTCTCAAAAAAATATATACAATCAATTTTACATTATAGGATGCTGCTTGTGAATAACCATAAAAATCCAGATTATTATCTGGTGATATACGTGAACTATTATCCAAGGCTGCTGCTGCATCGACTAGAAGAAAAAAAACAAATCAAATAAATTTTACAAAATAAAAAATGCATGCAAGAAAAGAACAAAATAAAAACACATGCACAATCTATATGTTATTTTATACAACAAATCATACTTGTCGTTTGTAAGCTTTTGCGTACTGAAACATGCAGAAGCAAAATAATGTGCATTTCACAACAAGAAATTATTTTGTAATTAGAAATAAATATTTTATCATATAGATACTTACCATGACTGGAAACAGGTCCAAGACTACTAAATGGTCCACTAACTCCAAGATGTGCTAAACGTGATGTACCCAACATAGTATTAGGCTAAAGAAAAACAAAAAAAAATTCATATATAATTTTGTTTTAATCAAGATTAAATATATGTTTGTTATTAAACTTTGATTAAGTTATTTAAAAGAAATAATAGATGTTTTAGTCTCATCTTTACTGTATTTAATGATAAGAATGGCCCAAAAGTAACATGATAAATAATTTTTTCGATCATAGTAAGTTAGATCTGATATTTATACTAGATGACATAATTCAAAGATGCAGCATATAATCAGTACTTAAGTATAGTTATTTATTTAAAAACGTACAAATATAGAATGGTCAAAAGTAAGAAAATAAACTCTAAGTTCTAACAAAACGTTTATTAAAATAATAGAACTAGAAAATGACACACATACAATAATATATATTTGTCAAGTGTTTTTAATAGCGAAGCTTTTCATGAAAATTACTCAATATGTTTACCCTCTAAATCTTTGCAAAGTTGTAATCGCTCAGGTACTAATTGAACAAACTTGTCAACATAATTCCATTCGTATTATTTATACATTTTTGGATTAGTTCCAACAGCTAGATACTGATCATATGCGCTACATCTTTGAATTATGTCATCTAGTCTAAATATCAGATCTAATTTACTATGTTCAAAAACAAAAATTGAAAACATTATTTTTCATGTTACTTTTAGGCTACTTTGTATATATGTGTATTTGAAAAGTATTAATAAGAACCAAATTGCATCAATCCTAAAAGAGTACTACATCGATAAACATTTTATCGAAGTCATTTTTTGTTGTATGTCTATTATATATTTACGAAAAACTTTCACAACATCATTAGGACACAATGATTTGTCCTACTAACGTTTATTCAATAAAAAAATCATTTGAAAATGTTTTCTTAATGTAAACATTAATCTTCTAGAACATATATCATCCATATAATTCCATCAAATAGTGATGGTTTCATAAGAACCTACCAGTATGATATTCATTTTGATTAAACATTTCTCAATGTTATAAACTCTTGATTTCGGACAGATTCAAAATGTCTAGTAAATAATAATAAAAATGAATCTTGAGATATTAATCAATGATAATGAAACTTATGAATTCAATTAAATAATAAATATCAATCATGAAGAATCTTGCGTTTATGTAAAAAAAAAGAATGATTATTATTTTTTTTTATACAAAAAGAATAAGTTAAAATAAAACTATGTTTGTTTAATTATAATCTGATTTGAAGTTATTAATTTATTTTGTTTTATTTTTTAAATTAGCTTTAATCAATAAAAGAATACCTTGAAAATTAGGAAGAAAAAAAACTAAAATATAAGTTTAAGATTAGATTATTATGTCATAAAATCGATTTGAAATTACCTAAACAAGATATAAATATTGAGTATAAAAAAAATGCTTAAAATTTTTCATTAGATTATTAAAATATTCTTATGAATAATTTAGATGTTATTTTTTAAATATAGACATTCAATATTTTTCTACTATTTAATATGATCAAGATAGAAAAAATAAAAATAAATTTAAAACTTATAAAATATTTTTTTATATCAATATTTCTCTGATAATGATAAATATATAACTATAATTATGCTAATAAATACAAAATTATTTACTCAGGACAACAGAAAAAATATATATAAATATCATATTGTTTTGAAACTAATTATATTAGTCATACTTAAATATTTTAACTATGAAATAAAACTTCAATTATAATAAACAATAATACTAAATTTTTAAATCAAAAAACAAAAATTAATTTTCTATCACTATCATATTTAAAATAACTGTCATATAATCTATCTATATAAATCAAATCTTTCAAATTCTCACATGTGAATATTTGTTCTGTACTGAATGTGAATGTATATCAGTTAAATAAGCATTAGAATTATTGTTATTAGGACCACTAACATTATTAGTCATTGGAGCATCACGTGTCATTATTGATGGTTGAGAATAACTTGAATTATTATAATAAACTGCTGGATTACGTGGTGGTGTCATAAATGTTCTTCCCTAAAAAGAATAATATTGAAAAATTATAAATAATTAACTTTATTCATTTTTTTTTTTTGTCTTTTTTTACTTGTTGAAATGGTGCAACTCCATATGGATCTCCATCGAAGGCACCGTTTGAAATCATCTTTTATTATATATATATATTTATTTATTTATATATACGTCTTTTTCAATTCTATCTATCGTTTGTACATTCGTCACCGGTGGTATGGAACCTCAGCCGACAAAAAATAGGAGCAAATAAGTGAAACAATAGCAAATGTTGTATGATTGGTCATTTGGTTTTTTGCCAAGATTAAATATTACTTTAATATAAATAGATAGAGAAAATTATTTTCTATTAAAATATGTTCTTAATTTTTCTTGAAAAACGAATTATGTAAAACTAGAGGGCGCTAGTATACAGCACTAATTTAACTCTGCCATAGAAAACTATAGAACATGAAGAGTTCACCATTGCTTTTCAGTATAAGTACAGTTATTCTTTCTTAGATCAAGGTTAATATTCTTCATGAATTCATTTTTTTCTTCTTCTCTTTCAATTACTCAGATCTTTGCATACTTGAAACAGCATGTTGATTCTATTTCTAATAAAGAATACATGTAATATATTTTTAAAAACTTTGACCTTGATGAAGTAATACAATGTTACAATAGTCAAGAGAAGAGACTTTATACTTTTGAATATCAACATTTTTTTCTACAGAAATAAACAAAAAAAAAGATAATACTATTTTCATTATTAAAATTCGATTTCTTTCAATGCGGGTATTGTCATACGCTGATAGTCATCTATCAATGATGATTACGTAAACGCGAGTTAGGCTAGCAAATTGAATTTAGCTAAATTATCTAATTCACTATATGAATACAAGCATTGACCGTAAAAACTGTTTAGATATATAGCGCTCCGCTAAAGTGCATCTTTTGCTATTCAATCAATGAGTCATTGAGCTACCATGGCAATAAGAAAAATGACAACAAAAGTTGTCAATACTTTCTCTTAATATCATCGATTCATTATATTTAAAATAATGCGAAAAAAATTGATTTTCTTATTGAAATCCTTGAATTTCTTTTAAAAATGAAATCTCTTATATATCGTTCATTCTCAACTACAGACAAATATATATATTTATACACAATCGACATATGAATACCATAATTTTGATTATCTGAAGCATGTTGTTAAATAAAATGAGAATGATCAAAAAAAAAAAAAAAATAATCATAATAAAATCATGAGATTATTAGGAATGACATAGAGGAAAAAAAAATGTTATGAAAAGTACTTGTTTAATACACCAGACAATAATTATAATGAGAAAAGTTTATTGATGTTAAATATACCATTTACCAAAGTGGACCGCTGGATTTACCACCGGGTGGATGACATACACGAACGCTCGTATGTACATTCTAAAATTTAGAATAATAATTAAAATTTTGTATATAGAAAATAAATGTAAATTCTAAAAACTGTTCTCAGGACACAAAATTATCTACATTATTATCTATTTCAGACGGGTAAACGGTGTAAAAATCATCATTGAACAGTTATATTCTATTACATAATATTGATTATTACCATTATATTAAATATTTTCTTACCTTTTGACCATTATTTCCATCATCAGATTTTTCAACTGTTTTTTGAATATTACTATTCTCAATTGAATTCGTTGATGTTACTTGAACATTATTATTTTCTTCTTCAATTGTTTTTTTATTTGATACATCAATTTGTTTGTCATTTTCTATATTTTTGGAATTTATATTACTTTTCATTGTATAAGATTCACCATTTATTGGATTGTATCCCACTGTAATAAAATAAGAATTTTAAATCAATCAAAAATTCAAAAAAAAAATAGAAAATTATATTTTGTAGCAAAAAAAAAATAAAAATTTAAGCAAAATAATAAATTATTTTAAAAAAAAAGAAACATTTTTTTTTCTTTTTTTTTTTTTTTTTTATATCACTATACATGTTCTTTCTCTTCGAAGTAAATTATAAATGAACAAATATAAGAAAGCAATAGGCATTTACACGAAATACAATTGAAGCTTGATGTATATAATAAATGCCTAAATAAAAGCATCATGCATTAAAATCTTGTTCATTTGTGAATACACGAAGATAATTGTGTCATGAAATAAGTGAAACATACATGAGAAGGAATATCTGTATTTAGTAGAGTGGGGGAAAAGTAAAAAATTTTAGGATAAATGGGAATATGTAATATACTTCGTTTTTTCGTTTTAGTTTAAACAAATCAAACAAGGACAACAAAAAGAAACAGCAGACTCACTGCGTGATGCATTTGGATCTAAATAAAATATTTTTATAATTTTCCAATATCAGTAATAAAGATATTTTTATACTGATAGATGATTGTTTATCATCATTATTGTTTTTTTTTATTTCAACTTACCTCGTAAACCTTGTCGACCACCTGATTGACGTTTATTTTGATCATCATCATCAGTACTACCAAAAATATTTGATTTATTTTTATTTGAAACAGAACGTGTCGGTACTGGTTCATCCGTGCCAAAAATATTTGATTTATTTTTATTTGAAACAGAACGTATTGGTGCTGGTTCATCTGTACCAAAAATATTTGATTTCATTTGTGTTTGTTTATATTGACCAGCAAGAGTTGCAGCTCTATTATGTGTTTCTTCGGGATCAGTACCAAAGATATTATTACTATGACCACCTGGTGGTGCATGAACACTGTAAAAAAAATATGTATGAAGAGAGAAAATTAAAAATAGTAAAAGATGATATACCGAATTGATGGTTGATCTTTTGATGAATTTGACATAATGAATAAGGCTTTCTTTTTTTTTTGTTACTTTAGTTTTATATAAAAATTGAATTGTTCTATTCTTTAGAACACTCTAGAAAATAAATAACTTTTGATTTGATGCACTGAAAAAAAAATAAATAACAACGGTTGCCATTGAACCAAAGAATAAACCCTTTTAAATAAAGATGACCATATTCTTCTTTGTTAGTTAAAAAGTTTAATTGTAGAAAAAACAAATATTGCTTTGATAACGTTTTTATTTTCCAAATTATTATACTATGATTAGATTGTATAAAAAAAAGCAATTAATATACAATAGATGTCGTAACACTATGGTGTAGGTGGTGGGTGCGGCTTCATTTTATTTTAACTCACGCCGACATACTTAGCACTTTCTGCATTCGTACTACTAACATTCCTATTGAAATTTACCAAGACAATTAAAAGCTACTGTTATCAATAACTATGTTCTAAAATTCTCACGAATATAAACTTTAATGAAATTAATAAACCGACTCTGTGATTCATACGTTACTAGTTGAAATGAGCTGCCTTGGCGTTTGTGAAATAGAAAATGATATCAAACATAGTTTCAATTGGTATTGAACTCTACTATTAATATATGCTAATTAGAAAAGCATAGTTCGTTTGCTTTCATGTATCATGCATTCCTGATAATATTTTTCTTCTCAGATCATTGAATTTTGCAAAATCTTTCTCTCTTTATCTTATCAGCTGCTCTGTCAACGCATCTTTTAAACTAGCAGAAGAAATTGACTATGGAATGTTTTATAACACAGTGATTCAAATAGGTATAATAATTTTCTATTATTGACTATCGACAGTTTTGCCATTGTAGGAGACAATTACAGTAGTGAAATATTTGATTGATACTTTAAGCATATATGACAGTTCAACAACTGCATAATATCTTTAGTAGAATTTCACACGTCTTAGTGATTTCTGATGAAATAATTAAAATGGACGATAAATATATGCAGAAAATATTTTTGATTGTAAAAAGTCAGTTACATTATAAACTGAATCGATGTTGTTTATTGGATGATGTAAGCAAGAAAACATCTATTACATTGAAATCTGGTTATGATTGCGTCATTATATGTCAATGATTTCGATCCTCTAATGAGAAGAGCTTCTGCATCAATGGAATACTATTCTGACATGAGTTTTGAACAAAATCACTTGTGAAAACAAATCATGACATTAAAAGCCGGGTTCGTATTGTTTAAGAAAATTTTCCAATGTATAACATGTTCAGAAAAAAAAAGACACTTGCCGTCATGGTACAGTTCAGAATTGTGGGAATTAACGATAGAATTTACGAGGAAACAATCCGGGTTCATACATTATTTATATTGCTTGACAAAATTTTGGAACGGCACGAGTTTATTTGGATAGTATGTTAGCGATCGCTTGAGTGTCATCAAATGTTTAATAGTCAAGGCAGGATAATAAAAAGAAGAAGAGACGATGAACAATACACTTTCGATGCGTGGTTCATTCCATCATTCTTTAAAACATCTGATCAGACACGAGCTGATCAATATGATTTTTTCATACTTTTATGACGAAAAATCAGTCTCAAGGCATGACAAAACCATAATACATGATTGAGTCGATAAATCCATATAATAATCTTTTTGCCAATCTACCATATCATTTTTTTTACCCACATTAGCAAAATTTTTGAGACAAATGTTACAACTTTTAGAAAAAAAATTGGAACTAATCTTGTGGTTGAATTCCAAAATCTGTTTGATCCATAAGCTTATCTACGCAAATTGTTTTCATTTCAGATGAATATGAATTGTAGTAATACAATGATGAGTGTTGATCAGGATTGGTATGAGAACTCGAAACAATTGATTGTGATTCGAACATACTAGAACAAATGAAAAATTTGATAAATTATGTGCTAAAAGATGTAGTCATTGTTGTCCGTATCAAATCTGAAGATGACATGCGTGAATGTAAACAACTCAATAGTTCCTTAATCGTTTGTTTTATAAAGAAGACTATCGGTAGATACTTACTGACAAAAAGCACGAAGATGTAACAATAATTTTATTTTTCCAGTAAATATACGAGAAAGAAAGATGCGATATATCTTTCAATGACTGTATTGAATTTTTTCGACTACTGGAGTACTCGTAGGAACCTTAGCATATCTCATTTCTATAAATTTCGATCTAATATATCCACTTACTGTTCGATGACAACCGAAGAATTTTTGATAATCATTTAGAAGAACTTTCCTTTCTAGTTCGAATGATAATATTGTTTTTTGTTCTTCTAAATATAGCTTGTCTAATTGTGTTTCTTTGAGACATAACTACTAATAAGTGTTGAAATACATAGTAACAAAAATGACACTCTTCAAATCCTCTTCTACAAATATGTGACAGACACATTTATATATTATTATACATTTTTGAACTACAGAGATTTATTAAATAAATTATTCCTGTATCCGAATTCGACACTTAATGAATTGAGTGTAGCATAGGTATTCAAAAATCATGCTAACAAATCCATTATCATTCAGCATATTTGTCACATCCCACAGTGTAGCAAACTTATTTCCTTTTGATTCCCAAGTCCAATAGATTGGACAATATGGGTATATATTATTTCTTCATAGACCTCCACACTTATTTTGTCTTTGGAGGAGAAGTTTTTAGTAGTAATTGAGTTTCAATTTGATTGCACATGGAAGAGAAAAGAGTTTAAGATATTATTGGATGCTAGTTGAGATGCCTCTTATTGTTGCTACGTTTGTATTCTATGTTCAACGGAGTGAAAAGCTTTCTTCTAGATATCGCTCGTACTTAAAGAAATATTCAAATTCCTATTTGCTCCTTGGATAGGATACTTGATTTTGTAGTGTGCAGTACACTTCGAAATGAAATATGTAATTCTGCTCAAAATTAATGAACGGAATTTCGTGAGAGGGATGTTGTGTTTTCGAAAGTTACAAAATAAACTTCATCGTTCTTTGGTAGCTGTATGCATAGCAATTTAGATATTGTACACTATGTCACGACTGCAAAACATCATTATTGACTTGTGACATTCTTAATAGAATGGCTGATTTATATATTGCTTTTCAAGTTGAATTTCCTTGACTTAAAAATAAAATGTAGTTTTAAATTCAGTTCACGACTAGAAAATTACTCAAGCTGCATGAATGTATTTGACAATTATGAATAATCCAAATAGAACGAATATCCGTGCTTGATATTATATAGAAATAGTGGTTCAGATAAAGATTTTAATTAAGGATCGATGCTCACCTTCTAAAAATCTATGGATACAGGATGTTTCATAAGTGTTGGCGCGCGACAGAATTATTTTATATGTAGATCTAGCCAAAACTTTTTATATGAATCGTGAGCATTCGTGTCAATCATTTAAATGACATTTTTTTGTATAATATCTTCTCTTGTAATAATGAAAAGATAAAAAAAGACAACGTTAGGATAAATTTTTCGTAATCAATAAAAGGATTTTGTTAAAGATATATTAATAAAGTGCTGAACAATTCTAAATAAATGATAGCGTAGTAGAAACTAATAATAAACATTTAAATTTTCTCGTTTATTTAAATTTTCTGAGGTATGATTCATTGAAAGTATATATGCAATATTAAAGAAATAACTATGAGGAGATTAATTCTCAAGCTTTAAACAAATAAAAGGTATCCCAGAATACCTGCTGTAATTTTAAAATACATTGTTCTCGTAATTAACAAAATCAAACTCTTTGAAACTTTGATGTATCCTTATACCTACTTTGTACTAAATAATTATTAAATTTGAGATCTATAGCTTTTACTATGTGTGAGAATCCACAATAACACTATTATGTAGTCGCTGTTCAATTTTTCTGATCAGCTTGGTTATTATTTTCAAACAAATACAACTTTCGAAATAAAAAGAAATACATATCAAGTTAACAAAGTTCACTGATTTGAGTAGCGCCTTGATCAATTACTAATTTAAATCGTGCATATATATGATACAATCCTTCATTGATATAAATAAAGACTAAAGTTCTTCCATTCCTTTTTAATGCAGTTTTTCACATCTTCAATGTTATTGGATTTCTACCCTCGTAATTTCTTTTTTAATACACTCCAAAAGTTGTCTATAAGCCAAAACATCAAACAGCTTTGCGTCGCAATTGATTGATTCGATTTGATTGATAAAACATATTTAAGAGTACACAGTCATCCTTCTGTTTACTATGTTAACCATCTTGAAAAATAAAATTTTCGTAAATTACCTAATTCTTTAATTATTTATTGTAGTACAAATGTTTGAGTGAACCTTACATATGCATCAGCAGTAAGATACATTTTCTTACAACGAATACTATCTTGTAATTTAATGAGTTCTAACCTTTCATCGATAAAAAATGAAGATTATTGAACGATTTTTTATATCGAAGTCATAGACCTTAAACTTTATAGTTATTCAATACTAAGCTGGTACAATAATATGTTAAATTTTCGAAGGCATTTGCTTTTGTTAAATGCGAGAAGGATACATTTTAAAATTACTTCAGAACTTCTAGGACATCCTTGATTATGTACCAACGTGTGATTTATAATTAATTTTTCAAGTCAATTAAAATAAATATAAAAATAAAACATCGTCAACATTTAACCAATTCAAAGCATCATTTGATATTAGCTGTATGAAAATAGATAATGGTTCAGATTTGAAAAAAAAAATCAAATTGTAACTGTCCAGGATTTTTTAAAACCGCCTATGCAAACAAGTTGCTAGTATGATTATTTGTTTGAAATATTGCAAAGAACCGTCAACAGCAAAAATAGTTGCAATTAGTGAGAAAAGGAAAAGAGGTAGACTAACTGAGATTAAACCCGTCTTGCTAAGACAATATTTTCATTTTTCTTACTTGCTCTTTGCTTTTCTATTGAATGTTCTTGAGGCTTTTTTCTAATTTATTACAAACTCTTTTTCTTATAC